ATCGAATGCCCCGGACGATATAAACAAACATTACAATCATAAATAGCCATATATAAAAAAAATAGATTATTAATTTCGATTTGCACGAAAATATTATTTCTAAATATAATCCGATTCCAAACTAAATTAAAATACAATATGTCCTATAATTACCAAACAAATCAAATATATATATATATGAGCGACCGGCAAAACTAGGGGTCGTTTGGTGGTACGTTTAGAGCATGGTATCGTTTTGGGGATTGGTATCGTTTTATTTTTTTCAATTCATATGTAATTTTTTGGGAAGAGGTATCGTCTAAATGAATTTTGCTCTGGAAGGTGACCTTGCAAATGATGACTAGTAATCGTCGTGTATTAGTACTAGTAGTAGTTGTCGTCGTGGTAATGGTAGTGGTAGTAGTAGTAGTAATAGTAGAAATAGGAATAGGAATAGTAGTAGCAGTAGTAATAGTAGTAGTAGTAATCGTCGTCGTCGTCGTGGTAGTAGTAGTAGTAAAAGTAGAAGTAATAGTAGTTATAATAATAGTAATAATAATATTGACAGAAATAGAAATAATGGCAATAATAATGGTATCTAAGGGGATATAGACCTATGAAATGGGTATCGTTTTTTGGTATCGGTCTAAATCCCCAATTGTTTCCCATCGAAGAAACAACAGGAATAATTAGCAAAAATGAAATAGAATATGAAATTATTACAACAAATTATATGAAAAAAAAATAAAAATAAAAAATAATAATAATAATAATAAAAATTAGATATATATTATTTCGAATATCAACAAACAAAAAAAAATCCAAGATATATATCGTCACTTAAGAGGAAGGAAATACGAAAGGTAAAACAACGAGAAGAAAAGAAAACGCGAGAAGCAAGGCACAAAAATGCAATATTCGACATAAAAATTTATCCCTTCGGAAGCGACCTTTCGTAAATCGTAAATATTTATTTATATGCATTCTATATATTCAAATATATGCTTTCAAAATATTCAATAAATTTCTTCAGAAAATAGATTTACCCCATAAATAAATCATCGGTAAGCATTAAATCGGAATATCATAAAATTTAAATTATCCTAAAATCATAAAACAAATTACGAAGACATTCCCCAAGAAAAGATTAACGTGCTTCATAAAATAAATTCCAAATATATTTCATCGAAAAACCCCTTTCATAAGTAAAATTTAAAATATATCCTTTCTCAATATTCAAGAAAATTTCAATTATCCTAAAATCATTAAAAATTCATAAAATATTTTTAAAAAAATCAAAATTTAAAAAGAAGAAGGATTTATATTTAAAAAATCGAAAAAGAAAATTTAAATTAAATAATTAATTATTAAATCCAGACATCCCAATATTTATTCCTATCTTTCGCAACAAAATTTAGTATTATTAATAGAATAAATATATATTTCTTTCCAAAAATCATTCAAATTATTCATTTTTAAATCAATATAAATCCCGACCTTTAATATTTTATTCATATCCTAATCCAAATCAAAAAATACATATATAAATAACAATCATTCTAAAATGCTAAAATATATTAAATATAAATATATAAAATAATATATATATTAAATAATATATATATCAATATTCAATATACATATATATATATATTTAAATCCAATAATAATCCCATAATTTAAAAATATTTATTAATATCGAATTCAAGAAATACAACACATCAATATCAATAATTAAGATTTTCAACATAATCTTTTAAATTTCCAAAATATAAAACTAATCCCGAAAAAAATATATATAAATTCGCAAAAATATCTATTATTAAATAACATAATATTCTATATATAATATAATTCAAAGATATATATATATATATGCTTGATAAAAGACATATATTTATATATTTAATAGTATTAAATGAAATATATTTTTCATCCTTTGAAATGATAATTATAACTATAATAGCTATATTGATTTATTTTTATTCCAATGATTTTGACATGTAAATGCTTTTACCCTCACCGTCCTGATGGCACGCATGTTCAATATGTGATCAAATTACTTATATACGTGTTTGAAGCAATGCAGGACACAAATTTCACTCAGCAATTGTGCCAAGACAAACCACCAAAGAAAAAAGGATTGATTACATATGGTTTGATCAGTGTCACAATATCTGATGAATTCTGATGACTTCGATTGACGTTGGTTGATGAATACAGACAAAAGCCCTCACAGATTGACCTGTGAATTTGGCACGGTACCAGCCCAAGAAAGACGTTCCGCCCCCAACAATCCGCGACCGCGAGGACCGCGCAACCTGCTCTTGTCTCCGCACCACGTAGCCACTGCTGTTGTACAGGCCGAAGGCTGCGGGGTCCAAATCAGTGTGCAAATAGAGCGTCTCTCCCCCCCAGCTCCTCCTGGACAACACATTCGACAACCTGCAGCTCTTTGATTGAGTTGTTAGTTTCCAACCACAGCAAGAAGGAACGTGGATGATTTCACTGGAAACCAGTGCATTTGTAGATTTCTAACCCTCTTGCAATGTGTCGAGCAACATCATCCTTCTTCAGAAATCATATGTTATGGTATACATGTTCGCGAAATCCCAACCTCCTCGAGCTCCCTGCCCAACCCGGAAGGGAAAAAGCACGTCGCCTGCAGAATTCCTCCACCAACTTCAAGAGCTTCCGGCCCAAGCCTCTTCCACGGACCTCCTCGGCTCAACGGCCCAAGGGTCAACCATGTAAGCCATACAACTCCTCTTCAAAGAGGCGCGCCGGTAACTACTACACTGCAAAGTCCGATGCTTTACCAAGGGAACAGTGAAGTTGTGAAGTTGCTTGGCAAATCATCACACATGTCCACAACCTGCCTTTTCAGGATGCAGAAATTATGTTATCTAATTATGTATATGTATAATTATGTATGTATATATATATATATGCTGGTCTGGTTCTTGAAAACAAATCAAATCAATAGACAGCTGAAACTGAAACAGCTGATCCGATACACACCGCAATGACTGGGTCAACACAACCATATATGGCTATCTCTGATCCTTGTCTGGGCATGGCTATCGGTCTCTGTCCGGTCTCTAGCTATCCGTGGCTATGACCCTGGCGATCGTTTCACGCACGCCAAAGAACCGCCCCACCGCCCGCGGTCACCACCTTGGAGACACATAAGTTCTTCAGGTATGGCTGCGGAGCTCCGCGCCTCGAATGGCACCGCTTTTGTGGGGGGAGACCGGGTACTACGTCGCACGCCGTGGGGCTGGCAAGGTACGTCAAACCCTGTCGGATGGGTGGAGACGGTCAACGGAGTCGATTTTTCCTCATTCTTTGCGCTTCTTCATGGTTTCTTCCGTTTCTCTGCAACACGGTGCTTTTGTGAAAGGCACTCACATTCAAGCTGACTCACTTGGACTCAATTAGATTCCAAAGTTCCAAACCTGCAAACACTCTGCTCATCATTCTCGAGAGAATTGTCGACTTTAAATTCGGCGCGGTGATGCTACAGCCATGCTTGGGAGAAATAGCACGTAACTAAAAAATGGGGTTCCATAACTACTGCTAAACTTTAGAAGGGGGTCCCATAAATCTTATAACTTGTAAGAATATTCATTGAGTTTGCTATAGTAACATCATATTACTATAATGTGTACTAATATCTATATACCGTATTGATATGCGTTCGGGGCTTCGGGCCGTCTCCCTTCCATTTGGTTTGGGGTTCCACAAAAGAAGCACTGGAATACCTGGTCCTCCCGACATGAAGACCGGAAAGACGCAGGTCCGAAGGGTCGAAGACTCAAAAGAGCAACACCTTGGGGTAAAGAACCGTTGTCTAGTAAAAGGAGTCTTTATGGGAAGCAGTCTGCCTGTTATTGTGACTATTTTGCACCCACCATGCGCGCGAAGCGCCGTGCCTAAGGCCTTCAGGGGTTTGAAGGCAAATCTCAAAGTATCCTTGGACGCACGGGTGTCAAAGACGTGTGTCATTTTGGTAGCCTAGGGCCTAGAGAGTCATGGAGTCATGGAGCCAACCAACATGGTTGGTTTCTTATTTCCATTTTTTGGGATGTCTGAGGGTCTTCCAAATCGGGAACAACAGGATCCCACATCAAGATACCAGAAAATAATGCTCGAGCAAATCCAGGTGTCCCATGAAGCCCTCGCTGGACTTGAGGATCACCTGGGTGCGTGGCGTGTTTGACACAATCCAACAAGCTGGAATGGGACATTATCACTCGTTGACTCCCCTTGTGTAAACCGTGTAAACTCGCCAAGTTGGCATGTCCTCATTCCAAGGATGAACAAAACACTCCGCAAAACGCATCTAAATTACCAAATAAAATCAAACGGTGCTTTTCATACAACATGTTTGATCATACAACCGATATGTCATCATCTCCAAAACTCGTGAAATAAGAACTCGACGGATGGATAGACAGCCCGGGAACCCACAGGTCACCCGTGGGTTCCCCGGCCACAAACGAAAAGGCCAAACACATTGGGCCGAACCCTAGTTGACCACGGAAACATGAACAGAATGGACTACTAGCTTTCTGGGTTCAAGTACCCTTGAGCTTACGCCTCACGGGGGCCGGGGCCTGTTCGACGGCCTCGCGGCTGTGGGCAGGCGTCTACAGAGTGGACTTCTCCTGTCCACACCTTTTCCACTTAGGTAGATAGGTTCTTTGCACTCCTTTGGATAGAGCCATGGACTTAGATCTGCTTTTGTGTGATTTGGAGGATCCCTGGAGGTCAAGGGCCAGGGCTCTCCTTCATGGTGTGGGCGATGGCCCAGCTCTCTGCTGGGAGCACTACACGATCCTGGCTGGAACGTTTTGGTCCCAGGTGAACGACATCTTTGAAGTCTCCCTCATGCAATTTGTTGCTGGCCAAGGTTTTACTGGAGAGAAGATGACGGAAGCCAAGATCTGCATCCACGATGCTCACAAGCGGTCCCTGAATTTGATTGCTGGCGATCTCTTTGTCTGTGCAGGCCTTTTCACGACCCAGGATATTGGCCTCTGGACAGGTGATCACCGTGCTATCCTCCTGAAGAAGACCATGCCTGTGATTGATGAAGCGATTGAATGTCTGCACATCTTTTCAGGTGCCTTTTCTGGATGGGGCCAAGCTCTCAGCTCGCTGCCACGGTTTTGCTCCACTCTTCGATTGGGTACGCAAACGTTTGTTGATGTGGATGTTGAAGTCACCGCTGCACTTGCTCGCAAGCATGGATGCAATGTCACGCCTGCACCAGTTCAGGCCAGTGCTGTATTTGAAGTGTCCCTTCACAAAGTTGTGAGGGCGGCAGTGGCTGACCCTTGCCTGCTGCATGTGGTGCAGCCGTTGGCCAATTTCATTTTTACAGCATCGCCTCCTTGCATTTCATGGAGCCGGGGAGGCCTTGGAAGAGGTCTAAACTGTTTTGAAGGGTGGACCTTCGTTGACTGTTTAAAACAGTGTGCTTTTGCCCAACCCACGATGTTGAACTTGGAGTGTGTGGACGAACTCGCTCGCCATGCCCATTTTCCAATCATTCGTCATCTATTGCATGTCATTGGCTATCGTCCTTTGTGGGAGGGCACTCTCCCATACTGTACCTTTGCACATATGCAACGCACTCGTTGGCTCGCCGTGTATGTCAGGGCTGACCTTTTTTCGCATGTTGAAAGCCAGTCCGACCAGTTTCGTGCATTTAGGTTCGAGCAATGGACTTCTGATGCATTTCGATTCCAATTGCCTCGCAGTCTCCGTGAGAAGATCACCATTCCGCAGTCTATCCAAGTGCTGTATGGACTTCATTCGCTCTTGCCTCCGTCAAAGCGCATGAAAATTGCACCAGATATGCCTACAGAGGCTATCATTCGCTCGAGGTACTTGCAATCGCATGAACCGGTCCCCACTGTCTGTGCTTCATATGGTTTCCAACATGAGTTACCGAGGTCATGTCTTGAGCAGAAGGGCATCTTTGCTACACTTCGTGAAGGAGATTTTGGACCTGAGTTCTTGGATCCTGCATTGCTAGCGGGCCTTCTCGGTCTGCTTGAGACCTCGGTCTTCTCCTCCAAGCTTGATGTGCTCTACCGGCAGATTGGGAATGCAATTGCTACACCGCATGCGCTCTTTGTTCTCCTGCAAGGCTTCAAGTACCTCTTCCAGTGGCCTACTGATGTTGTTCAGATTGTCAATGAGGTGTGGACCATCAGGCTTATTGGGCCCAGGACGGTCATCATTGAGGAAGGCAACTTCTACATCTTTGCCAGCACTTCCACCATCATCGATGACATTTGTGTCCGCAGCGAGGTCACATCGCACCAAGAATGCCTCACTATCCACTGCATTCACCAGGGTGGGCGAGCTACAGAGTTCCCTGCCTCTCGCGATTGGTCTGTCAATGACCTTTTGGGTTGCTTCACATGGGATTTCAACATCACTGGGCACATTTATCTTGCTGCGACAGGTGAGACTCTTTCTCCTGGAGCACGACTCTGGCAAGTATTTGACCAGTATCCACAGTGGACAGTCTTCCTCCAAGGCTTCCCGGTTGCGACTATCCAGCTTGCTTCGAAGGCCCCTTTGGTGTGTCCCTCGACGCAACCGTGGCCAGGCCCAGACGGCCAGCATTCGAACGTGCTTCAACCTCTTGACCAGACACCAACTCAACTCCTCCTTGTCGAGGACCAAGTGCTCTTTGAGGATCGGCACTTCCATTTTGCCTTGGAGTATCTTGAAAACCATTGTCTGGATGCTCCTAGCCTTGGTACTGCAGACATGACCATTGCTTTTGGCTCACTTCCGTGCACTATCACCCTGCCTGGGCTCTCCCACGAGGCTGACCGACTTCGCTGCGTTCATGAATTCTGGGCTTTCGCTGATGGGGACTCCAACCAGTTGGCATTCAAACTCAATGACCATAGCCACTCAGCATCTGTTGGACCATGTGCGGTCATTTTCAACAAGTACTCTGATGACAAACTCATCTTTGTTATCTTTGAGAATGGTGGGTCGCTTTGTGGATTCTTTTTGGCTCCCAGCCTTGAGAATTGCTCTTTCGAGATTGACTCCAAGCTTTACATGATTGCTGCACTTAATGGACAAGAAGTCTCCAACTATCCAGTCCTCATTGATCACGGTGACTTGCTCCAGCTCCGGATTGCAACTGATGTATCATGTGGAGGGCATCATGGTGCCCGTACTGACACACTGCCAGCTGGAGCCAACCTTATTCAACGTGCTGAATTTGCGAGCAACACAGATGGCTGGCTTGCCACTGATGAGATGGACTTTGCGCTGCGGCAGTTCTCCTGGCTTGCACCGGAGTTTGCGGTCATCCACCCAATTGTTCGCTGGAACCTTGAAACTGCGAATCTGGAAGAGAATGACTATCAGGAGATCATGATTGCAAACAACCGGCTCAATGTTTTGCCTATCCTTTCGGGCTCTCATTGGTTGGCTTTTGAAATTCAGCGAGATGGCGCCACCACGCATGTCACCTTTGTTGGCCTTCCTGGACCTTTGCTTCGCTCTGGGTTACAAGTTGTGGCAAGATTACTTGACATCTCTCCCGATCGCTTGCAATACAGCCATGTTCCTCTTGATGACTCTGCTCACTTCTGTGGCTGGGCTTTGCTTCACAGATGGGCTAATGCTGCAGGCATTTTTGAGCAGATCCCTCACAATGCCGAGCTCTATGGTTCCACATCAATTGCCATGCGTGCTTTGATTGATGATGTTGTTGAGGATGCTATTGAAGATTGGCACCAACATGGTATTGCACATGGTCTGTGGTACTCTGCTGCTAACATCCGAAGAGCTTTCTTCAGCTTTCTTGCCACCACCACTATTCGAGGCAATGCGGTCACATCTGATGCTCTACACGTTGTGTTTGATGATGCTGGTCACAGTCCTGATCACGCTGAGACACCGTTCATTCACATCGACAGCCCTGATAGCCATCTTCACCATCGTATTCAGCACTTCAACCACTACCCTGGATGGCTTGGGTCAGATGAGCTAGACTTCATTCTCCACACCATTCGCTTTGTGAGGCCGCAATGCTGCTTCATGCCACCTGGAAGCTGGGATTATGCCACTGGCCACATTGTATACTTCAATGATGTGCGCCGGGACTTCCGTGCCTACCAACAAGTGACATGGTTTGTCCTCATTGACCAGTGCTGGACGCAGATTGATGCCAACAGGAATGATACTTCCATTGCACTCTTTATGAGTTTGCCTGATGCACTCGCCCATCTTGCGGGGCCGTTGGCCACCTTCATCATGTCTCAGATCGATGAAGCTCAGCTGACTTGCCAAGTGCACATTATCAGATGCAACCCTGAGGCCAATATGTGTGGATGGGTCCTACTTCACTCCCTTTGTGAGAGACTTCGGATTGCCATTCCACCGCTCGCAAATGAGACGCAGCAGGCCATCAATCTCTCCAGGTTCAGAGTGCACATCCGAAGTACAATTGAGAGAGCAAGGCTTGTCTGGCAATTGTCTTCCTCGTTTCCAAGAATCTCCAACTTTGCTGCCCTGGTGCGGACGAACTTCCTTCACCATCTCCTTGCTGACAGAGGAGTGCCGCAGTATGCAGCTGGGGGTGGCACCGAGCACAAAGAACCCACCAGCAAGCCAGAGGCCGGTGCGACTAAGGTTGACCAATTGCAGATTGATGATCCTTGGGCCCCCAAGACTGGCAAGCAGAAGAACCCCAAAAAACTCTTCCAGACGAGATGGGAGGACCTTACGATGCCTGCGGACCACCCGCTTATTGACGAGAAGGGAATTCCAATCCCTCAAGTTCACCGTCTTCAGGCTGGTGCCAAAAAGGCTGGAGCTGTTCTTGCCACAAAGTCAGGCATTGCTGAGCTCAGCCGCATCACTCCGTGTGCTACTATGTTGGCTATTCTGCCTGGGAATGACAAGAACCAATACATTGATCTTGGTCTGAAAGTCATTGGTCCGTATGAGCTTGTCCTTGAAGATGCGCAAGCCAAGACTGCTTACAAAAGGCTCGTCATTCTTTGGCAGCTTCATGGTTCGGTCACCTACAAGCTTCCTGACCCGAAAGTGCAACTGACTGCCGCTGAAGTTGCTGAGCTCGTTATGGATGCAGATTCGCGCCTTCTGGGGCCACAGGACACTGAGCAGGCGAGTCAGCAGCATATCTCCTTC